CCCGCTCACCCGTTATCGCGTAGCCGCGCGTGAAGTAGTGAATCGGATAACGAGCGCGTTAAGAAATTCCCAGACGGTGAAATCTCCATCTCCGGGGGCGATCCTCTCCATTTAATCCGCGATACCAGCGTGCCGCTCACCCTCCGCCGCTTTCCCTCCGCGGGTCAATCTGTCGGGGACATTCCGGCCCGCTCGGGAGCCTTTACCCGCGGATAAACGAGCTTCGTCGTCAAATTTGCTTGGCGTATCAAGAGCCGCCACGTGCACACTCGCCGCCGGCAGCCGGCGTTTTAAGGCTCCAAACCCCGCGGAGATTTTTCAACAGTGAGAAACGAGCGTAACGTGCGCTTTATAGTCACGCGGGGTTACGTGCGGACGTCGCGTCCCGCGGGCTTCATAATTAGGCGATAAGTTATCGGGAAGACGTTCGCCGGCCGTTCATCCGGACGTCGCAAGAGAGAGAGAGAGAGGGTGGCCCCGTCGATGGAAACGGAAAGGGAGACTAAAAGTGGTGAGCGGCGGGGTGTAAACCGAAAGAGAGAAAGCGAGCGAGGCTCATTTCCCGTCCGTCGCCGCGGCCAATGAATTTCGAGGGCAAATCGTCGCGAAGCTTCGGCGATTCCAAGTTTCCCTTCCGGCCCGTTCCCCGTCTTCTTGCTGCCGAAGAAACGAGAGCGAACTCAATTACCACCGCGATCGACCCCGCGATATTTTGTTGTCGCGCGCCCGACACTCACCGCCCGCTATTCTGCTGTATTCGTTTCGACTCATTTCGCTGCTCTAGCACCGCGATAAACGCCCACATCTCACCGTCTCTCCTCATTCTCCCTCCCCTCCCCCCCGCCCTCGCCTTTCATTTCGTTCTTCTCTTCTCGCTAATGCGTGTAGTTATCGATCTTGTCCCTCGCCTCTTTCTCTCGAACGCGGTTACCGTCGTCGCTTCCAGCGAAGTGAACTTCTGATTTTAACGGGACGACAGAGAGAGAGAGAGAGAGGTGCCGCCAGGCGAAAGGAACCGGAGATTGTCGCGCAAATGAATTTGAAGTATTGCCATTCTACATTTCCACCTGTCTCCGGCGGGGGCGAGAGAGTCAGCGGACGGTCGACGCTCTTTCCCATTTTCCATTACCTCACATTTCGTCCCCGCTTTTCGCTCGTGCTCTCGCGACCAGTTTCGCCTATCTTTCCCCATCCTCTAACGTCTCCTTTCGCTTTTCGTCTTGCGCGTCTCCCTTCGCCGGCGTGTCTTCCGTGGCGATTAATCTCGTCGCGCAACTCCAATTAGCGTCCTAAAAAGATCGCTTTCGGAGACACCGATCGAATTCGCACGGTGACACGCGAAATTACGTTCCGCCGCTAATTGTGGACTTTCCGTCCGGAGGTTGTCGTTAAAAGTAACAAAACTCATTTCAAGACACATTGAAGTCCGAACTGGGGTATCTTCGGTAGTTGATTAATTTCCAGACGCTCGCTCGCTCGCTGGAAAAGCCGCATTGACCGTTTTCCCTTTCTCGAAACGGCTGAACTCCCTCGTTTCCGTCGCGTATCAAGAGTCCTTTTCAAGCCCCGCCGAGTGTACAATAATATTATCGCTGAGTTAAGTCATCTCGCAGTCATCGCAAAGAATTCCCATTAAAGGATTTCAAAGGATAAGGTCGCGAGGGAAGATTCCACGCGCCGAGGACTCGGGTTAAATTATCGCGGAGTGTATTTGTTCCATCTACTGCAGGCACCACCGCATCGCCAGGCTGAAAGGAGCGCGCGGCTTTTTGACCCGAATACCGAAGCCCCGCCGGTTTTAGCACATAATGACCCTAAATAAGGGCACTGAACGGGTTATCCTGTCACATCGCGATTAACCGGCGACGCGATTCACCACGTGGTGGTTATCGGAGAGCGGAATGCATCGTTCCGCTTCGCGGGATATTTCGCTCGACGACGAAAGGGCGCCGGAGGGACGATGAATACGAAAATACGTTTATAAGTCGAAACAAAATTTGCCCCGCCTTGCCCTCTCTCTCCCTCTCTCTCTCTCACGTAATATTACGGCCCGGTCGGCCAATAAAATTAATCGCGCTCTTTAATTACCGTAATCCCGGGCATTATTCTATGCTGTTAAGCTCGACACTAATCATCCGACGCGAAGCGGTTCCGCGCTTTATCCGCTATGAGCAGAAAACGGAAGCCCTCCCACGGTGGGATAGGTGGGCGATGAATGGCCGACGGTCACCGGCCGTCGGATGATCGCCGGTCGATTATCTCCACGGGCCATACAGACCCGGTGTGTGATCTTTTATCTTCTTTAACAAAGACGCGAGCGGCTTGAAATCAACGCAACGCGGAGCGCGCGAATTTTCTTCCCCGGACGCGATAATATTTTCGCTCAGCGCGGGATTCCCTCCCGAGTCTGCCGATACTCCTCAGCCCGTCACTCATCGGCGCATCAGCCGACGCCCCGTGGCCCTCGATTTCCTCCAAAGCGTCGAGGCCCGCGGCTATTCCGCAGCGCCGTAAATCGCGAGGCGCACATCCAGCCGCCGGAGATAACAGGAGGAAGAGAGAGGATCGCGACTTAAGGGCGAACAAGCGGAGCAACAACGGCGGGGGGGGGGGGGGGGNGGGGGGGGGGGGGGGGGAGGGAGAGAACGAGCGAGCTCGGCCGGATTCTTTTTAAAACGCTCCCCGCGGTGAAATAAATTGGCGCCGGCGTGTTTACACGTTAGGGCGAAATTAAAATTCCTGAAGTGTTGCGAGCGAGCTCCCGGAAGAGGCGAGAGCGCGCCGGCGAGAGGCGGAGGGCTGGGTGGAGGGATGCGGGTGAGGGTAGGTGGTGGGTAGGGTGTCGACGGGCGGGTGTACCCGAAGGAGAGAGTTGTGTTTAATTAATGACCGGACTAATTAAAAGCCCAAAGAAAAATACACTCGCGTGCGATCCGCGGGCGACGGGCGGAATAAGGGCCGCCGCTGTGAAACACTCGGTGTTAATGCATAAAAGCGTCGCGACGACGTAGACGGCGGACGCGAAGCTGGCGGAAACGGCCTCGGCTAATAAGTTCTCCCGGTTTCAATTACCTCATTCGGTAGCATCCCTCGCAGCCGCAACCGTGTCTTTATGACACCCCGCTAACCGGACTCCGCGAAACCGGCGTCGGCAAATTCACAGGGGGACGAGGGAGGTGCGGTGTACAGTTTGTACGGTTTGTTTTCACTCGGGTTCGCTTGAGCGAATGAGGAGACTTTAATAAGCCCCCACGCACAGAGAGAGAGTTCATCGTGGCCCGTATTACGGCGCGTCCGCTTTTTTAAGGAGGTTGTAAGGCGAAATGCGCCCGAAAAATTCATACTTATACACCACATACACGTTGAAATATTATGTAACCGTTTGGTGCAATTATATATGTGTACACACGCAAAAAAGATTGACCGTTTTTCGAGAGCTGAGATATTTACAACTAAAGCTGACACTTTTTACACACGTTCCTTGAGATTAGAGTGCTATTTTCAATATCTTCTAAACTAGAAGTAAGATTTTGGCGAGAAACTACTATGATATTAAAGACTAATACACAGATATTGTGGAAAAATTTCAGAATTATCGGTCATTTGATTTCGAAAATACAACGACGTCAAGTTTATAATTCATAGCAATTCGTTTCAAATTAACATTTATCGCTTGAGTGGTAAAACAAATGTATAGAAACGTAATGTTGCTTTGGCGAATACTAAAATTACCTCTTGAAACGCGCCACTGAAAATGCGACACTGAGCCTCACAACCTCCTTAAAGCGAGATCGACGTTTTTCTAGTCGCGCGACACTCGTTCGCACACACCGGGATCTGTTTATGCATTCGGTAGTTCGCGGAGCACTTTGTCTCAAACTAGCTTTCCTTGCCTCGTATCGATCGAACGTTATCGGGCTAGTTCGCGTGTGCGCGTTCTATTACCCATTTACCCTCAGTGTAATGATCATACCACGGTTTACCAATGAGCAAACGAACACATCCTGTTAATGTATGAATCTTGCAGGGAGCAAACGCGGGTTCTCAGGTACAAGCATGCTGGTGTATCCGCGTGTGCGTGTGTATCTGACACCGCTGAATACACACATCCGCAACAGCGTGCTGTGCGCTCTCTGCGCTGCTGTGGCCTTAATTAAATAATTAATCGCTAATGAATTAGAAGCGCATCGTCTACGACGCGTGTAATAACTGCGCGCAAAGATACGCGGCGCCCTTCTTATCGGTGTAACCGTGATCGCGCCCGCAGGTATTCCGTATACAACCGTCCGCGCGCGCTGGATTATTCTGAAATATTGAACTGCCCGTTCGCATGAAATCATTATCTCAACGACGATCGGCTCTATGCCGGTATTAATCATTCTCCACGTGCGCGATCGCGGCGCATAATCACCGTAGGAACGTGATCACGTTGGATTCGCGGAAAATATGAAGCTCGAATAGCCCGAATGGCCGCGACCGATGCGTCATCAAACTCCGGAACTCAATTTATCGAGGAAACAGTAAGCTCGTAAAACAAAGTCCATGCGGGTATCGATGCCATCGAAGATAATCTCGATACCGCTGGGAAATTCCTGCGGGAGACGCAATATACAGCGGGACAACAAAAAAGTCCCCGACGACGAGGCTTTGCGTTACGAGTGACGCGCGCGCACACGGCGCCGCTGTAAATAACGACGCGTTACTAATTTAGATCTCTGTCAGATAAAACCGTCCTGGCGGACATCCGTCACAACGCTCGTCATTCGATTGCGTTTCGATACCGCGCGATCTGCGTTTGATCACGCCTGACATTGAAAATGTATAACGCCAGTGAAATATTCAAGCCCAGCAAAGACCGCGATTATGGTGACTTATCGACGATGGCGAGTTATTACTCGCGCGAGAGAATTATATCGCTTTCGGGGTCATTTCCTGCATGAAGTTGTCTGTCCGGAAGGCTGAAAAAATCCAAGGCAATCGTTGAGCAATAACAAAGATGATTAAGAAACAAGATAATTCAACGTGGCTGTTTATTCAATCAATAATATAAAGGCGAATTCAATCGCAGAATCCTTCGAATTTTCATTCCCGTTTACGTGCCTCTGCCCCGATCGACCGGAATATTTGAGGAAAGACATATGTACAATCATCAATTTTTCGAGTTCTGTCGCTGTTATATTACCTCGTTCATACGTCACGTCCATTCGTCTCTCGCGTTATTGCGAACTCGATGATGCGGGCAAAGAATTTCGTGCATCGGGCAACCCACGTCCCTCGAAATGTTTACGTAAGCTCTTTGGTAAAAGCTTCGTTAATAAAATCGAGAAAGCGACTGATGTAGGTGAATGCAACATACGAGTGGTAATCGCAAAAGTCGTTCTTCACCGGGCTCACGCTGACGATACCACGAAGATACCATATCCCCTCCTTCTCAAAACTCAGACCGCCACCGCTGTCTCCTTCGCAGAGGCTCGAACCTGATAATCGTGCGGTAATTTCCATTTATATCGACAATGTAATACTAAGAAAACGTATATGCGCGCGTTTTTTTTCAAAATTCATGCAATAACGATGAATCTCGCAATCACGTGTTTCGTCGAAGATATTATTTATCCGCTCATTAACTCATTATGCATTAGCTCGTAACTAATCTTCAATGCGCATGCAATCATCTCGCGTTAGTCTTGCTAAAGTTTAAATGTTCCCAGTGTTTGCCTTAGATGATTTCAGATTCATCTAAATGAGGATGTGATGAAAATGATTTTGCTTTTGATTTATTTAGAGATAAAGATCAGATAAGTAGCGCTACTTATCCAGATAATTTTTTACTCGATATTGTTTGCATGAGAGACTTTATAAAAATTTATAATAAATATCACGCAGATCATAAAATTGCGCAACGGTCAAGTAATTCGTCCACGTAATCGCTCTAAATTTCAGGATCTAACAAAAAAGACCAATAATCATTGACTACTCACTCACGGTCGACAGTTTGATACGGGCTTAAAGTGAATCGGTCAATTGAAACAAATGGTCTGTCCTTTTTAGTTGCACCGCTGAATTGGTGCAATAAGTTAGAGTGAGATAAGTCTACTTTGTCTCGCTCTAACTTATTACAGTTCAGTAGTACAGCTAAAAAGAACGAACCAAAGGAGATAAAACGGAAATTTGTTGATTCGTTGAAATCTAATCTCCAATCCCTAATCTGATACGGGCTTAACGCATAGGTCTATATTATTTCATTCATTTTATCGAAGAGTGAGTTCAGAATACGGACCATAACATCATTTCAGATCATTTTTAGGTGAGATAACATATTTTTTTATCTAAGATGAAGATGAACATATTTTATATTTCTTTCATCTAGATACTGGCAAACACCGAATGTGACATAGCAAACATGAGCGAATCTCAGATAATTATTTACGCACATAGGCACTCACCGTTCAAGTGGCCGGCACAGAACTTGTCGGGCGTGAGATATCCGCGGAAATTCGAAGGTACCGTGGACAAGCACTGTTGATATGGCACGAACGGCATGTCAATTTCGTACAGGATCTCGGTGGATTTGCCTTCGATGTTTTTACCCCAGCCGACCACCTGAAATCACGAAGTGAACTCACGATCGTTTTATTCTCTCTTTATATTGGATTTTCACTCTGCTTTCCTTGAATACGCGCCAGGACCTTCACCGTGTACTCCACAAAAATTAGATAACTCGTCCGTTTTTTGTGGAATTGGATATAAATTTAGATGTGATTCGCGCGTGCGCGTACGCACGCGATTATGCGAATCTACGACACAGTGACAGAAAATTATAGTTATTTTCGGCGTCAAACATACATTTTAACCACAGAAATATCCAGAACCAACATTTTTCTAGTACATGTTACTGTAATATTAATGATAGTAACCTTGTATATATGTTGTTACCACTATAAAATATGTTTGCCGCCGAAAATAATTTAATATGATAATAATTTAATATAATAATAATAATTTAATTTAATTCAATAACTATAATTTTGTATCAGTGTATGGACACGCAGCACGATTAACACGGACGCAATGTAACGACACGCGTAAACGCGCACGTGGTCAGAGTTTAATCAGAAGTTAGATCAGAATGATGTCGTTATAATTTAACAACTATTGAGTGCTGAGTGCTCGGCTGCGAGACGTGTCAATTAAACCGCGCAAAGACGTTCGATTGATTCGGCTCTCTGGTTGATTGATACTCGCGTTACCTTGCCGGATTGTCCCAATTGCAGCTGCTTCCACTCGAAATTGTTTGTCCAATCTATGCAGACGGGTTGCACCTGTGCGTTCAGCTTGAAAGACGTCTTCAGCTTCACCAGAGCTATATCTTCGGCGAAATTACCCCTCGCTCCCTGATATCTGCTGCCCGGTCGGATACTTTCTACCATCGACTTTTGGTTATACTGCTCGTCTTTATCCCAAGCGCGATAATACTTGCCGCCGGCCACAGCGTAATTCGACGCGTCGATAAGTTTGTCGGAGGCTTCATCGTAGAAGCAATGAGCCGCTGCGGAAAGGAAGAAAAAGAGTGCAAGGATGAGCGACGAGAAGAAAAGAAATTTACCATACGCGGTAACTCACCTGATACGACGAGGTTGCTGGTGATGAGAGAACCGCCGCATTGCTGCTCGTACGTCATGTCGCTTTTCTTTTTGTAGATACCGACGTGCCAGGGAAACATTCCCATTTTAGCCACGCGTCCATTTATAACCAATGTGTTGCCGTGCGAGATAGATTCGCCGCATTCTAATTGATCAAAACATCATTTGTGTTTCAGTGACCAGACGGCGGGGAATATGCGAGCCATTGCTTATAAATCACGGGCCCGAAAAGTCTCGAGGACATAATCGCGCGCGCGCGTGTGCGCGCGTGTGATTAGTCACGGATAGGAGAGGACGGATCCAAGGACGACTGTGCCGCGAGAAAAAAATACGAACAATGATTATAAGGGACACGACGAGGGATTAAAAATTATTAACACATTACGGGCCTCTAATTTTGTTTTCCAAACTTCCAGTAAAATCGAGCGAAGTTTAGAAATAAAAGGTGAACAGTTTAAAACGGCCTTCATCTGAAGTTCGCTTCAGCGCGCTGAAATGCACAAAAATGAGCACACGATCTGTAATGTGTTAATAAATAACAGTACACCGTCAATTTGTCGAGACCTTTCCGTTCTCGCTTCGTGTCGGAAGCATGGGAAATGACAAATAATATTCACTCGGTACACAATAAAAAAGGTTACGATCCCAACGACCATCGTCTTGACACTTGATCTCCCTGTAAATCGGAAGTGCAGATTCATAAGATGGTTTGCAGGACAGCCTGGCTCGTGTACCAGACACCATACGCTCGCTACAGGACACCGTTTCTCCTCGATAGCTGCAGGAGATGTCTACGCTGATGCTCTTCAGCGCTGAGCAGGTTTCTGCGGAGATAAACATCGCACGAGGTAAACAATAAATTTACCATCCGCCGTCTGAATAAGAAGAGCATCGCTTCTATATAAGAACATTCATTTCACTAATTGCGCGATAATGTCTACTTATTAATCAACTCGTAACGGAAGAAATTGCACAGCCGGTCATTTCCGAAAGTTATAACGATTGTCAAGAGAGACTCACTGATACACGAGGGCATGTTGTGCCACTTCTTATTGACACAAAAGGCTATTTTGCTTCCTTGCAGCGTGTAATTGTTTTCACAGTTATAAGTGAGAATACTGCGTTCCGGGACAGTGTCGCCGGGATACTTATTACAGTACCCATCACACCCCAATTCATAACGTCCGCCTTCTGGCTGTGGAGGTAAGACGCAGCCTTCCTCTTCATTTCTATTCCTGCAATACGAATACGTGCAAAAAAAGTGCCGATTCGAGTCTAGCATTCAACAGGAAATCAAAGAATAAAAAAACCTATCACACGGGAGAAGAATAAAATCCGAGCGAGGCTTAATTATTAGTGAATTTATGTAGAAATAAGTAATCGGGACGTACATTGTCAAGTTGCGTGTGGCAAGGAAATATTTAACTTACATAACACAAGATGCCTCATCGCTGGAATCGCTACAATCAACTTTGTTATCGCAACGAACACTAGACGGTAGGCACTCGTTATTTTCACAGCGGAACTCGTCTTTCCTGTTTAAATATGATAATTAAGAATTCTCGTATGCCTAAACCAGTAAACGAAAAATCATTACTGCGATGTTATTACAACGATATTCGATAACATGTGACGTTTTCAAATATGTCGTATTTAATGTTTTATACAACATCATAAACAAACTTTGACTCTGATTCGGAGATTTCGTTGTATACGCAACTATTTCAATAATAATGGCTCTGGTAGTAGTCTTACTACTTACTGATTGGCCATGGCCACACATAGGTTAAATTCGTCTCGTATGCTTTCACGCTGAAAGTATTATTCTATCTTTATTGTTCATTACAAAAGAAAATGGAATGATGCTTTTAGTACGAAAACGTGCAAGACGAATTCAACCCTAAGAATATGCAGCCATTGATTATTACGATTATCTATTGTATATTATTTGACCTATATTACTTCACCTAAGTCATCACACACACAATTTCTTGAAATAGCGGATACACAGCGAGACTCGAATATGTTAGAACAATACAAAAAATAATATTGTAACAAAAGAAAATTAATATTTTACTAACATTATTTCTGAGTCCAAATTAAAAGCGATTTTAAACTGTGCATTGACTTCGAATAAATGTCGAAGTCATAAAAAAAAATACTTTCCGTAGTTTTTAAAATATTCGAACAACTTTAAGATAAAAATCATATTACGAAATAATATGTTTTAAATGTATATGTAACAGTATTAAAGAACATCCAAAAAATACACGTTGAGTCAACATTTCTAAACGTTAATTTAATGTTCCTTGCTCACTGGAGAACCTCTCTCTTTCATTAGCGCTGATAAGACAGGTTTCCCCGCTGTACGTTATTAAATACAAATTTGTGTTTTGTCAAGGTGTAGCAATCAGGCATACCTGCATTGATCTTGCTGGCGATTATCCGGACCGTAAGGGCCATCATTTTTATTCTTGTCGGGAGAAGTGGATCCTTCATTACTTGTATCTGGATACCTTTCTTCTTCGGACGGCCTTTCTTTGTCTCCTTTGTTCCTCCAGCCCGGAGGAAGGTTATCGTTGTGTCCTGGAGGACCTCTGTTTGATAATCCGGGAGGACCGTGACCACCTGGCGGCCCCCTTCCTGGCGACCCACCTCTTTGTTTATTATGACCCGGTGGTCCGACAAAATCATCGAATCTCTCCTCCGTAGCATAGCCCACCGAGGTGGCATAGGCAGGGGCCACATACACAGATGCCGTATTCACTTTTGCCGCGGAAGGGCCATTATTTTTTGATACGCACGCTGAAAATGTGCAATTTTTTTCCGTGAATGCTATCGATTAATCCGTCAAAGACGATTTATCACCTACATGAATAGAAGGAGACTTTAATGTTCCGTTGATCCAACGGAAAAACTTGAATAACATAATTGAGTGAGAAGTCAAATATTTGAGAAACGTTTAAAATCGAGAAGAGAAGAATTTAATTAATAGTCTGATCATATTCTAATATAATCGTATTCATAAGTTGGAAGGGGGTCCGTGCAGAGAAAGGAACGAGTAGTAAAAAGATTCAAGGTCACGCGGATCCGAGTATGCATTTGCGTGATTCCCTTGAATCTCCTTAACGCGCGATAAAAACGTCACAATCTTTCAAGGAAATCCGTGGCCGCCGGCGATAAATATTCGGTCGTCTCGCGCGATGTAGCTTAAGCATCATGCTTGAGATTTTCGACGTGTCCACTCCTATTGTCCTTTTAAACGCGAATAGGCGAGAACGAGCTTGGTCAATGGTGAGTGACGTTAATTCGATGTATCGAAATATCGCATATTACCGACCATCACACATTATGCAATGGAACGTATTCCGTGACACGTCACTATCGATAATACCGGCCGACCGATGACGCGGCACGGAAACGCGTCGGATCGCACGACGTGGCTTTTGAATCCGCGATTCGAATCGTATCGCCGCGCGAAGTCGTGAACTTTCGCGGTCTACCGGCCATTCTTCGCGCGGAACTCCGCGGAGCACGAGCCTTTCCGTCAGACGTAACAGCAGGAGCGCGGAATGAATAGCGTTATGTAAGCTACTTACGTGACGGCAGTAAAGCCAGCAATGACAGAATTATCGAGGATGCAGTGCACGCGTTCATAACTGCGGACACTTTCGCACGGAAATCGCCACTCACTCAGCCGGCGAGAAACTGACCGCCGGTCCCGCACCGAGGCTCAATCGACACCTTTGGTTTGGAAGGTCAACCGGAATATCTCATGATGAAGCGCCACGGATTATCTCACTAATGTGATGAGGATTGGTGCCGGGGGAAGGACTTGGGGAAACAACATTGTTGGATTGATAGCAGTCGCGCTCGTAGACAGATCCACGTAAACCGACGACGTCGAAATATACGGCATAAAAGTGTTACGAGCGCTTCTGTCATTGAGAAACGTTCCGTGATCGACGAATAATCTCACGGACGAAATTTCGACATAGCAGTACAAACGAAGTTAGTACTTAGCTAAGCTTAAGTTTTTGTTTAACAAGGAATTAAGTTTTTTTTTCTTTTTTCTACAACTTTACGTCAATCTGATCTTCCGAAGGCCGATATCGGAAGGCGATTCAGTATACTTGGGTTTTATTCTTCTTCGTATGCGCGGAAGAACTCCATTAATGCTGTTTTATGCTTTAAGCACAGTAACATTGAAAGTTTCCAATTAAATATGATATTTTCGAATATTTGTGTAGTATAATTGCTGCCCTAAAGCATCGTTGCCGGTTTATCAAATGATCAACGGTCATGATGCACGAATATTCGCACATAACGCTCCTGAAATTGGAAATTTCCGATGACATTATGCCTAAGAGATAGAACAGCATGGAAATAGAATCTTCTTCTACATATGTAGCTCATCATATTGCAAGCATGTGCTTCGGTTACCACCGAAAGTTAGCAACTTTCGCGTATCGTATGACCAAGCGATAAGAGCAAGTCGATAAATTCAGGCAACTCGGCTAAAGCAATAATCGCGAAAATGAACGTTTTACTTCAGAAACACGGGGCTAAACACACATTCAAAGTCCCGGAAGGATTACGCGAACTATGTACCGACATCGCACGCGAGGTTCGCTCTATGAAATTGTTATTTGGCTTTCCTTTTAGCACCGTCACGTCAAAGGACGATTAAATTATTATCTGATCCTGAAAGGTTCTACGCTCGCAGCCGAGGAATATTTATTGCTTCATCGCTGATTATATAGAAACACTGTTGATCACACGAGAAAATGCAAAAGGTATCGCATCGTTTTCAGCGATTTCAGTGTTCCAAGAATTACAACCATCTGCAAATTAGAATGTTAGGTCAATATATTTACAATATACTTATACATACAATACACACACACACATACCTAGTTGTAATATCTCCTTACTAGTCTTACAAATTATTACGTAAATTCAAAAATTGGGGAATGGCATAGTAAAAAATGTTGTGTAAATAACGGTCCACTGAAATTGATGTGTTACCACCAACATGGGGATTCGTTAAAAAGTACAACGATACATGTTAAATTAACATATTCACTTTGTCAACATATTACTTCTTAACACACTCGCTTTGTTAAAGTAAAAAAAGCTGGACCGTTATTTACACCAAATTTTTTACTATGTGCGCACGCGTATCGCTCGTCTAGTGCGACAATACGCGTGACAATCATAAAAGAAAAACCTAGACTCTCGCGCATCATAAATCATGCATTGCGTGTAATCGCGTGTAATTGCCTTCCAGTCGCGGTGAAAGTCGTAAACAATATTTTACTGGGCAGCCAGGCCATCGTGGGTATACTTTATCGCAGCGGTTTGAGTTTGGAGCAGATCGCCCGCGCCGCACCCAAGATTCAGGTACGGTGTGGCCGCGCTATCGCGTGCTAGATATCTCGGGATCCCCGACACACAGCGAAATAATATCTCGGGCATTCCTTTTTGCACGCCTCGCAGAAGGCATTCGGCTCTTACTTGGACGCGGTAGACACGCGAGCGGCCCAGGTGTGTGACGGTAATTATACGGTGAAATTACGCTGAAAAAGAATTCGGCGACGCGCAGCTATGTAAAAAGCACGACGGACAAACTGCAAATTCCTCCCCTTCTTTCGACCGCAGAGGCAACATGCGAGGAGCAGTCCAGGGTGTCCTTGCAAGGCATTCTGCGAGCGACCGGAGCTTCGGTGGAACAGGCGGAGCGGGCCGCCAAGATAATACAGGTGCGCCGTCGTTACGTACGCAAAGCCCGACGGGTCTCTCTCTAATCGATCTTTAGCGGCTCTTTAAGCCGTTCTCATTGTCGTCGATCAGACCGCTTTCCGCGAGCATTATGAGAGAATGTTACTGAATGAGTCCCAAGGCGTGATTCAGTGGCAACGAGCAGCAGCGAGGACCCTCGAGATCCTCAGGAAGGCCGGAGCCTCGCAGGCGGAGGCTTCGAACGCGGCCGTTTCAATACAGGTGTATAATATCGCTCGTGACTGAGCATTTATTAACATTATATTAACTATATTAATTTATTAATTAATTTATTAATATTTACTAATTATTTATTTATTCATTTAGTTTCTTCTTATGTATTAATCACTACGTGTCCTGTACAGGCTGCTTACCGTGGATATTATACGAGGAGAAATCTAAAAATAAAAATGAGTAAGATCGCTATCGATTGATTGGTTTTTCCCCGCGTTTCTTGGCGCTATATAGAAGAAAAGGTCATTCTCTCGGCTGTTTGCAATGACAGAGGCGCAAGAGGAGAAGGAAAGCGAAGTAGGCACGATAGAGCCTACGGAAACCATTCAATCCGTGGCCTGGTTAGATATGATGTACGAGGAATCAAGATGGACGTTGAAGAAAGCCAACGAAGCCGCTATTGTTATACAGGTGAATAAGTTGCTGGCTTAATTGAAACGGCAAAGATAGATAGAGATAGAGAGAGAGAGAAAGAGAGATATGTCGCGTCGATGTTCACGAATATCTTATTCTATTGTAAGCGAGCTTACAGAAGATATCGCGAGAGGAAAAATATATATGTGCGAAATATATCTATGCCACGGCTGGAATCGACGAAGCCGATGGTAGTGGAAGCCATTCTCAAAAATCTGTACCAGAGAGTCCTCGACGGAGTCGTATCTCGCGCGAACATTCCCGCGGAATTTGGTAGTCGAGAGGACTTGGCCGAAACCAGCGAAGAATTTCAACGCGCTTTTAGGAATCGATTGACGCGCGCTTACATAACGGGAGAAAACGGTGACTCCCTTATCGCGCTTACGAGATAATATTCATTTCGAAAACGACATTCACGGAACGATTAGAGTTACAATTTTGACCGTAGAACATCACACTTCCTGCGAGTAACGGTTTCACCACAATAGGTGCACCGCACCCAATTACTTTCAACTATCAAAATGTCTTCGGAAAGTGGATATTTTTCAACATATTTTTTTTTTACTTAAATGACGGAATGCCAGAAACATGCCATTGTAATTACAATTGACGTTTCAAGAAAAGTTAATTTATGAAAAAGCCCGAATAGAAATTTCCTGAATCACAAAAGACTATTTGCTTCAAAAAATTACTGTCTTTTTACAAAGCTGTATTGTATAATAAAAATAGTAATTTCATCAAGGATAAAGGGTGTCACTTTTTAGAAAAAAGAAGAAACAATAATATGTCGCGAGAAGATTGATTTCAAAGATTGATTTCCTAAGATTGATCTCAATGGCATCCCCTACATCTGCTAAACGACAGGTGGGTCTGCGCAATATGGGGAATCAACAAAAGTTTTTCCCGTATCAATTCCAATCCTCTACTTTTCACTATATAGAAACGGCGGGCATTTCAATAACAGCGTAGCACCCAAGTGTGATGTTTTATGGTTAAACACGCCGTTAATTAATCCCGCGGCCATTAATCTCGCAGATAGAACATTCAATGGCAATGCGATCAAAATGACGAGTAGATAACTATAAAAATTCACTTTTCGATCATCTTGTCATCATCCTGACGTCATTGTCATTGTACGTTCTTGGGCTGTGGCGATTTCCCTGGATTACGCATGTCTGCATGTGCGAACAGAACACGACGGTCAGGAGTTCGTCCGGCTGGAAAAGCCCGACGAATCGTTTCCGGAACTGGCGGACGACACCGTGGCGGCGAGAGATCGGAATGAAGGTCGAGAAATCGAAGTAGCGGCGGAACGTGACGGAGAAACAGATGCGGGTCTGGCGTAGAGGGGCAGCCGAAGACTGGGGGCGAATCCTTTTCCCGAGTGCGCCGGATGAGCCAATTAACATGGAAGCTGCGGCGGGACGGGAAAAGAAGCGACACGGCAATGAGCGCTCGGTGCACAAAGGGGGTAGTTGGGGGCAAAAAGCGCCGCCTCCGGAGGCCGAATGCAAGAGACACCGCGGCACTTTAATACCACATGCTTACGTTCGATAATTCCGTTAACGTGAATGCGCTTTCGCAGCGAGCGCTGAAAATTCCCCCGGAACGGCACGCGCGCGACTGCAACGGGCTAAACTATTTTGCCCGTGTAACGTTAATTTCATTCGGCCGATGCCGAACCGCGCCAGGGCGGCTCGTCCAAATTTGATTTGCATAATTTTTATTCCCGACAGTTAGCGCTCTAATATCTCGTCACATTATTTCGCGTTAATACGCCCCCGGTGGCCAGTGTTCCTCCGTTGGAAAAAATCTTCAGCGCTCGGTATCGCGCGTTGAATCGCCCGCACGTCTTCCCCGCGCTTTATTATAAAGGAGTAGCCGCGATTCGTGATAAACTCTGGTTGATTTTCAATTCGTTTCTTTCTCCCTTTCTCCCGAATATTTATATATCGCTGAAAATGACTAAAAAAGAGAAAATAAGTAAAAAAATCCATAAAGGTGTTTACGAAACGAGGGGCCGAAGTCAGAAGGTGCTTCTGCAAGGCACTCGCGTTGAGCAACATCGAGCGGCAGCCAGGTCGCTCAAAGGGGACTTCAGTAGCTCGTATTCAATCTCTGACGGTACGTGTCTACGTGCACGATTACATGTATCCGCGATCGCGGTCCCGCAACTCTCGCAATGTGCTCGGCAAACGTGTTTCACGCTCGACTCCTCGTGTGAATCCGCGCTCTCAGGTAGCGCCGGCTGATCGATGATTTCCGAAGTCAACGATTTGTTACACTCGTCCTTGCCCGTCCTGCCGGCCGATCCTGCCGCCTGATCCTCGCACCTTCCATCGCCGCACCTCCTACCGGCTTTATATTTTTCAGCGAGGATGCACATGGAGTCCTTGTGATTGATAACGGCCACGTCGTCGTCGTCTTCGTCGTCGTCCTCGCCCTCGTTCTCACGCTCTTCGTCCTCGCGTGCAGCGGATATTATATCGGAGTTCTTCGAGTGGCAATGCCGCTCGTACAATCGACTACTCTCGCCTCGCATTGAATCGCGCCAGCTTTTGTGCCGAGTTCGTCCGTCGCAGATGCGCCCGTGCGTCTCGCATCTGCAATACGAGTGACACGACGAGCGTGAATTAAACAAGAATCGCGGCACCGACGCTGTAGTTTTTGCCCCCCCCCCCTCTCGGCAACGTGTCTTTTCTGTCGCATCTCTTTTTTCGAAAACGACGATACTTCCGTAAAATAATCTCCCCGAGAATTCGTGAAACCGTGACGATATATGTTTGTTTACATTTCAGACCTGTAGCAATAGTTATTTGAAACTTGTCTTATGGAAGATTCTCAGGTAAGAATTTACCGAGTCACTTCAGCGACTTTCAACCTTATGCGTTATATCTAAAGCTGAAAATCGCGCAAGTCTTCATCCAGGGCATGGTGTAGCACATGACGGCAACCGTACCCGTAACGAAATGTCATATTAACCCTTTCGTGTCCACGAACGAGCCGCGTTGCTGACAGCAGCAATGCCGATGAAAGCACTCGCGTCGATGATGACGATGCTGACGACATCCGTCGCAGCAACGGTTGCACGATGATTCTAATAGATCCAACGTGGGCTCCTCGCGCAGATGAGAATCCCCGCACCGGCATTGCCAGGTCGAGTTCACGGTCCTTCGATGAGACGTCAAAGTGCCCAGCTTCGTCCACATGTCTTCGACGCTCGAACTGTGACTCCGAGCTCTGTCGCCGGTGACGACATTCTGCGCCACGCCGTCGTCAAGATCGATGGACGTCCCGTGACAGCCCGCCGACGCAAAGTCCTTGCCCTTGTCTCCCGATGAGTCGCCGCACGCGACTCTGTCGTTCACCTCGCGGGATGCATTGCGCAGCAGGCTGCCAGCAACCAAGCTCGAACACGCTCTTGACGAGCAACGCGCTTCACGATGATGGTAGAACGTTGAACTGCGCGCGGAGCGCGATATCCACTCCAACGTTTTAGCAGCCTCCTCGTCGTTCGTCGTTCTCGACGCTACGTCGCACCTGCGTTCGTTCGAACAGGGATAAGTTCGCCGGAGAAACGGTTCATCGTCAGTCTCGCGTTTCCTCCACTCGTATTTCTAAAGTTGAGAGTGCATCTGACTATGTTTCCTGATTTTTTTCTTTTTTAAAGGACGACACGCAGAACGCCTTTGTACCGGTACGCGAAAGTAACGACACTGCGCGACCGGTTGCTACTCCCTCGGAGTATATTTTGAAATACAATTATTTCACAGTGCGTATACACTGGGAGGGAAAATATCTAAAAAAAATAGAAAAATATTTACTCACAATGGGTACTATACAATATTTACTTGAATCTCTAAATTCTTTTATTTCGATACAATAAACGATTGCCTTTGTGCAAAGCTGGACTTAAGAAAATTGTCGATTTTCTTATTTGAAAACAATTTTTTCTCAGTGCAAAAGCATGTATATTGGTATATATATATATAATAATATATATAAAATATGTTACTAATATATCACATCGAATAAATATTTTTTTTTATTTTTCAGATATTTCCCCTCCCGGTATATAAATATTGCCAGCAACAAGTACAATCGCCGTCGGTTTATTTGTCCAGCTAACCGGAGGAAACCCACGTGTACACAGTCGGCTCTGTAAATAAACAAGTAAGCACCGCGACGCGAGTAGGTCGCGCGGGCTGCAAGGCGGCGCACCTGTCCCGTTCGGCAGGCTTTGCAAATTCATTTTTATCCGCGCCCGACGTCGCGGGCACCTCCTCGCGTTCTCTGCACGGCACGGTATCGATTGCATCTCCGCCGCTGCACTCGTCCCGCAGCGCTGAAACCTCCTCGCCGTTTCTTCCGTTCCGGCAGCAACTGCAGCTGATCGAATTCCCGCCGGCGTACGGATTGTCGTAATCGTGGCCTCGCGCACTCGTAGGACAAACGTGATCGGATCTTGAGCCGCACGCGCGTTTCACGAGGAGCGAGGAGCTCGATCTAGCTTGATTAATGGGCCCTTCGCGGCTCGTCGCGGTTTCCGCCTGGAAAGGCGCATCCCGTCAGAAGCGCATTGATAAATCGCCCTCGATATCAGTTGACGTCGCGATGCGAAATCACGCGAGGATCTGTTCCACGATCCAAGTGGAAGTGATTATGAGAAAGGAGCTCAAAATTGATCTAGCTTCTCGGCTCGAGGGACCTCGTTACTTCGTGTCCTTTATCGCGCGCGCGATCTCGCTTCCTTACTCGTCCACAGTTATGCAAGGACCCAACCCACAAAATTATGATTGAGATTTTATTACCAACGAGCAGTTTGTACGGCTATATCTATATCAAATAAAAAAAAGTCCCAGCCTTGTGAGTGCCTGAAACTCATTAAAAAACAGTTTTTATTTTCTACTAGTTGCGTCGTTTATTTTATTAACTGCGTCTTCTTTACCCAATTTTTTTCGCGATTAAGCTTGTTGTCACTGAATAACTCTTAAATAGGAAAAAATGGGGAATGGATGTTTCACTTCTTGAATGATTGTGAAGAACCTCAGTTATTTATACTTCTTGAATCATGTATCGAAAATCTTCATCTGCATATTTATCGTAATATACTCCGTGTGAGTTGAATCTTCCATGCATAACTCTGGCCACTAATAAAAAAAAAAAGGATGGATGGAAACAAGTAACCTTGGCGCATCCAGACGCACATTCGACCGCGCTCTCGAGACCGAAGTCCTTTGGAAATTTACGACGGGCACGCCGAAACGCAATCGCCGCTGCGACAAGCTGATGAGACGACGACGGACAAAGCGACATTACGGAAAAGCGGTTATGGTCGCCGTGAACATCCCTCTGATGTGGTAACCGATTCAGGAGATAGCCCCGATTACACGATAATCGATCTCGGAAATTCGAATAGTCAGGATACACCTCTCGTCATCTGTTCGACAGAGCGCGAGATATTTCTCAATTCGTTAATTGATTCACGCGATGCGATCGGCCGCGTTATTTTCATTTCAAGATAAAATGATATCCGAACGAGATCCGACACGTCGCCGAGTTCCTTGACGCGAGCGTCGTGAAGCGCGCGGCTTTGAGCCCGGCGAAGATTAATAGCAGCGTTCTAACGGGCGGCCAGATCTTTCGCGTCCGGAGGAAGAATCCGAGTGACGGCCATATAGCGCGCCGGTCTATCCGGCAAATTAAACTTCCCCCGAAGTATCGGCAACGCGGTTGCGGAACTTGACGAGAGCCGAGTTTTCTGACGTAACGGCTAGCCGGATCCGGATAACGAGGGAGTCCTGCGGGCCGGCGGCGGCTTTATCGAATTTGTATCGAGCGGAATTCTGCCTCCTCCCGCGCCACCCCCTCTCGTCCACCTGCAACCCGGACGCCTTGGTGAGGATTTGATCGCCGCCGCTGCTCTCCTGCCCCTCCCACCGCCGACCCGGCGGCGTTTAACGGGGCTAATTGCGACGATTGCTCGCTGCAAATGGAAACGGTGCGGTTTTACCGCTGTTTGCCAGTTCGCATCGACCCGAGAAACGGCCAGTGTGTATGTGAAACGCGCAAGAGTGATGAGAGACGCAACGGTCGTCGATATAAACTACTCTACGTGTATTGGCAATAACGATTTATTGGCTGTTGCATAAAAAAATCGCATACATATATATGTTTATACGTGTTGTTATGTATGGTTGTTATGTACCTATCTATGAATAAAGATGTTGCACAATTTTCTGCGCGCCGAGGAGATAAAGACCGATTATTATTATTCGTGTATATATAAAACAAGTGGTCTTCATATGCGCAACGATGAAACCAAAAATAATAAACGCTGTCGCCTTTCTCGCTAGATGCAATCTATCTATACAGTTATTACGCCCGTCGTCATGCGTATGAGGACGAACTCTGCGATCGATAAGTAACTTGTCAACGAGACGTTGTTTTCATCATGCAATACGATCACGTGTCTCACATATTCCACGTGACGCGTCTCTCACGATAGAGAATTCAAGAATTGTACAATATAAATAATTCTCAACATTTACACATTTTTACATACGTAGTAACGTCATCGAAACAGATTATTAAATAATGTATATCTCTCATTATATATATATATATATTTTTACACACATATATATAATATCGTATAGATTATTTAATCGCCATGTTTCTTAAATGTAAATTATCCGTTACAACTATGATGAGGAACGATCGAGTGTAAATAACGTGAGGCAGTAAACGCGAAACATATCCAACCTCGCATTAATATCAGATCCCCCCTCATAGCTTACATATCGCTAATATATCGTTACGCCATTCGCGTTGAAATGACATCATACACTCGGTAAGTCGCATCAGTCATCGTCCAGGTACTAGAGCGGGAAACACCGGCTGCGGCTAGACTTTCAATTCATCCACGGTGGACAGGATGTCGGCGGCTGATATGTCTGAGAGATTGGCACCTGATAATGCTGCACCGGTTGAGGGGGATGCTGCGGCCGCTGTTGGTGATGCGGCGGAGGTGGTGGCGGTGGATTACAGATTGACTGCATTAACGGATGCGCGTTGTAAGGCGGCGGTTTCGACGTGTACGGCGGCATTTGATTGTACTCGACGTTTAACGGCTGTTCTAACACGGCGTTCTGAGTGGGAGACCGGTTACCGTCAGCGGGGCCTAAAGACAGCATCGGGTTCTTCAAGTAGTACCGTCACTCTAATCGCGCATACAGAAAGATTACGGTAATATTGGACCTATATCATTTACTGTCATACGCGACAGCGGGGTGACTAGTGTAATCGGGAAGGATCGGATTAAACGGGGAACATAATTCGCACGCGTTTAAAGTTCCATGCACCAAGTGAAAATTGCACGGTTGACGCGCGACAATGAATCAAACACCTACCTCTTGGCCTAATCTGAGGGGGTGGCATATTAATAGGAGGTAATCCGGGACCGACTGCGGGATGTTCTCCCTCTCTCGGAATTGGCGGTGGTCTACCCCAAGGAACCCTCACATGATGACTTTGCCAAGGTGCCTGTGGCGACGGCGGAGGCGGCAAGGGAGGACCATTTCCAGGATGAACATTGCTGGATTCTCCAATTGCAGTCTGCTCATTTCCTATTTGTAAAATACGATGTATACTGCAGTCGTATGAAAGAAGTGGGGAATTTTTTGTCATGTATATTATCCTACACATGTGTCTCTCTCTCTCTCTCTCTCTCTCTCTCTCTCTCTCTCTCTCTCTCTCTCTCTTTCTTTCCAACATACCTGAAGCTAATCCTGCAGGCTTTTGCTCCAAGTTCCGTTTCTCACCTAAACGATTAAGACGAATGATATGAAGAGAAGGAAACGATACATCCTTATGTAACTATATAGACGTAACGTAACGTTGGAATTTAACATGGCAAATTATGCGATGAAATATTGTAATATAATGATAAACTTAAAAGGAGAACTGGTCGTTCAACAAAACGTAATTAATCTCGATGTCAAACGCAAGCACAAAATAGAAAAGCAAAAAATCTCTCCCGAATTTAGATGCAATTCTAATTGCAAAACAGTTCGTACATATCCGTATTATAAGAGAAAACCGCTCTCCCAGTCTTCATCTTCCGCTTGAGAGGATACTGTAGCGACAAAGGGAGAAATTTAGTTCTCTAGATTCGAGTTTAATCTTACAAGACTAAATTAGATATTAGGACAATATTTCACGCTATTAACCATTGTCAAACTAGCAGAGCGATTTTTCGGTAATCGCTATTACAGTCTGGAAGCAAGCAACGCATTTTTCAACATTCTTGCGTAATATTAGGTTACCAATTATCAGTCCCACTAAGAATCTGAAGCCATACAGTTATTTGCTCTCTATCTGTAAAGTAGAAACTTATTGATTAAAACTGCAACTTTCTAAAAGTCCTTTCGTTACACAATTGCTCACACAGTTTCCATTACACTATTGTTCAGGCCACTGCAACAGCAAAGACAAAAAATATCACTTTACTCTGGTGATGTTATATAATACACAGATATTAGTATTTTCTATAAATTCCGCATATCACTAGTATTATACTATTTGTATAACGGTAAACACATGTATCCGTTCAACACGCAACAGTCATCTCTGTCCTTCCTGGATGGTATGATCGGGCGGAGACGAGGTTTAACCTAAAGGATACGCAAGTCCAAGATATATTGAACTTAAAATGGTAATATTAAAAATATGTATGTAACATATCTTAAAAAAGAATCCTAATAACAGTAAGCATGTTTAATACTGGACAAACAAACACTGAAGTGGGAAATCACAGGTTACACTTGCATCTGAAAAATGCACATTTATATTTAATAAAAAAGACACTATATAAAAAAAGAGAGAGAGCATTGAAATTAATATACTTTCGAGACTGACGCCTTCGCGACTGTATAACACGTGCAGTGCAGTTTTTATCTGGGGAGGGTCTATAAAATAATAATAATAAATAAATTTTTAAAGATAACTGTCAAAGCATTTTCTATGCGGTGAGATTGCAATAATCCTTGTTACTTTCCCGGATGTCCGTCTCTGCAGGTATCCTCAACAAATGCATAAAAAAGCGGTTTGCTAAGATGTAAATTAAAAAGTCAAGGAAAATTTGTATTATAATTACCAAAAAAGATTATTTACAATAATAATATACTACAGTCTAAGAGTATTAAGAAAACAATGCTAGATACCTATCTGAAATTTATTTCACTCTCCAAAATTATTCTCTTTGAGGCTTGCGTTCGCATGAGCATTGCGGTATATCGTAAAACAGAAAATATGTTTGAATATTATGCCAACAGCAAAATTGTATTCAAGAAGGAAGCCCGAGGTTTAGATTAAACGGTTACAGTGTCAAAAGTCCCTCGAGAATACAATCTTTTTGCTGGTGTATCTCACATTTTTTTTGCAACATTCTACATCGCGTTTTGGATTTCCAAAAGGTATCCAGCACCTTTTCCGTACTAAATACTCTTAGTTACAGACCTGGATGTGGAGGTGGCATAAGCATCTTGTTTCGATCTCCATGTGGTAGGCCCGCTGGTGTGGGTGATGGACCATGTAAGACTTGCTGTTGTCGATCACCTTCTCTGCTTAAACAATGCAGGTGCGAATTATTAATTCCAAATTAAAGATTTTATCTGAGAAACATTTCACAAGCACTAAGACAAAAATCACCTGATGCGCACCCTTGGATACTTCTCTGAAATATGGAAAATATCTGGTTTTACCAGATCACACAGTTAATGACGTCGAGACGTACGTTAGTAAGTGTTCCTTACAAGCGCAATTGTAATGCTGTAGAGCGTTACAATGTACGTTCCAAGAATCTGTATAAATTATTTTAGCTGACGTTCCGCAAAAGTAGCAACTATGTCGCGACACGCCTCTTTTGGTTTATCACTTATGCTAAGAGAACATAAAATTAGTGATTCTGGCAAAAGAAGTTGGAACTTGGAGATTCCAATGATACGGAATCGTGGATAACATGAGGAAAATGCAAGTTTATTATTATCTTTGCATTATATTTACAAAGATAATAACATCGCTTTATATTAAAAAAAAAAAAATATCTCTAAACAGCCATACACACAATTCACAGAAAGAAATGCTTTGCAAAAGAGCCAGATGTGTGAATACACCTATGATTAAAAGATTGTCGAACGTTTATGAACAACACGGAAGCTCGCACAGTCTTAACTTTCCATCGAATTAAACTATTTTCAAAGCCTGAAAATAATTTATCGATATGGATATATCTGGATCTTGCAGCCAATGATTCTTGTCCATAGTTAATGACTCTCTTATAAGATTTCTCAGGAATAGTAATAATATACATCTGTGAATATAAAACATCTATTATGTTCGATGAAATATTCAAAAACATTCTTTTGGTTTCTCCGCTTTTATGATAAAACGATATTACCATAAAAACAGAGGTTTCTCCACTTTTATGGAATAATAATTAGTACAATTGCCTTGTTAGATAACGCAAAAGCAGGTTTCTGTAAGAAGACGGTTGGAACACATTGGCTTACATTTTCTTCATGTAACTTTACTCGAAGAAACTCAATCGTTTGTTTTTCTTTTTTCTTCTATAAATTTGCATTTGTTATGAGTGAAGCATAAGCGATTTGAAGCAGTTGTTTCTTTATCGACAGTTCTCTCTTCCGTACCGAGAAGATTTTAATCCACGATTAAAATCATCGTGCGCGTTACGCTTATAGTAGCCTATAATTCTGGAAATTGTCAGTAGCTTTTTTTAGTAGACACCTAGTTAGAACTTTGCACTTGATACACCTGCTTTGTTCGAGCAAGCACACAAGTTTCCCTCACTCACAATCTACCAAGGTATAGCTCCTCTAAACGCATGACGGCTATCGCTAAAGTTACGTTAATTTTATATGTTACAGCGCGTCTATGAATTAAAATAACGGTGTTTCCTTCGACTTACCCTGTGCCGTGACGTTGCGCGGGCAGCGGTGCGCATTGGTACGGTGGTGGTGGTGGTTCCTACGACACGCGTTCCAAGAAAGACTCAAATAAGTACCGTAATGTTCCGCCGCACTGTTTTCGGCTCGGCGAGCGACACTTTACCTGACCTCCCTCAACGTCTGAGAACCTTCTCTTTACTCCGTGCGACTTCTGCTGCTCCGGAGAATCGGGCTTCTGCTCGAACGCTTGCTGATGCGGCGGCTGCATCGTATAATGCACCTGCGTCGGCACGTGACCGTTCTGATACTGTATGTGCTGAGGATGATACTGTATCTGGGCCTGAACTTGCGGCGGAGGCACGTTATGAAGAGGCATGTTCTGCGGTGGCATCTGCATCTGTAAACAGGAAACAAATGTATCGCATCTTCGCGAGACGATACTCCGATAACGTCGCGCGCAATACCTGCAATTGCCCTTGCGGTTGCGGCATCTGCTGCGGTTGCGGCTGCGCCTGGTAAAGCCACGGTGCATTCTGCGGGGGCGGTGGTTGCGTCGGCGGCGGCACGCTGGTAAGGATGTTCATAGAATTCGGCATCTGGCCGATCGACGGGGGCGGCACGATCTGCGGAGGTGGTACCGGTTGCGGCAACGGTCCCTGCTCCACCGGGCCCTCCTGCTGATGCTGAATCTCACCGCCGGGTGGAAGCGGCGGTTGCGGGTGATGCTGCGGGGACTGGGCGTTCGGGACCAGGAAGGTTTGCGCGGACGGCGGGGGTACTTGCAAGTGGAACGGCGGAGCGTGGCCCTCGAATTGCGGCGGTATTATATGCTGTGCGACTGCTTGAGACTGCTCGTGATTCTGCTGCAGCTGAGGCGGGACGATATGCTCGCCCGGTTGCAGCACGAACTGCGTCTGCGACTGCGACGCGGGCGCCGGCACCTGCTGATACTGTATCTGATAGGTTTGCGGGGGCACGGGAGGGGGCGGCTGATTCGGCGGGAAGTTCGGCGGCGGGAAGTGAAGATGCAACAGAGGCGGCGGCGGCTGTTGCGTTATATTAAGCGGCGCTGCGGGAGGAGGGGGTTGTTGCAAATTGACATTGACAGTCTCGATGATGCCTTGCGTCGGTGTGGCCGGCCTCTGGACGTTCGGCTGGGTGTAAACGTACGACACCGCCCCGCCGCTCGCCGGCGCACTGCTGCTCGTTATGAAGCTCTGCTGAGCAGGATTCTGCGGCGGCGGCTGGCTCATGACGTACATCTGCGCCACGGGCTGCGGCGAGGACTGCGAGCCCGGTTGAATCCCCTGAATCTGCAACGGCTGGCCGGGATGTATCTGATACTGAACCTGACTCACCGTCGACGGAGGGCCAATTAACTGTACTTGCCCGACCGGCGGTGGCGGCATGAAAGTCTGTATCTCCTTTAATTGAAATGTTCATTAATACGCTACGTCATTAATTTTCTCTAAACGACTTTGGGCAGTGACAAAATGACCGATTCGAGTTTAATTACACACACCTGAGCTTGCGGGGGTGGGACTAATGGTCCAGTGTGAGGCGGTATGTATACTCCTGGAGGTGGAACTGATACACCAGGGCCTGGGGTACCAGCTACAGTAGCGGTAAGAATCGTCGCGGGTAATGTTACAACGCTACTTTGCGGATGCTGTAGAATTTCTGTCAAAGAAATTTTACTTGACAAAAGTATAGCGTATTTCTAACAGAGCTTCATTACAACGTATAATTCGTATATACTATACCTTGATGCTGTATTGTGACCACATTAGGCTGGGTTAAGGTACCAATGTTCATAGTTTGAAACTGGGCTGTGAATTGGAAAAAAAAATGATCGTAATCATTTATACGAATAAGTAGTGTGTGTTATTTTTAGTAAATTAGTGAATTACGTACTTGGTTGTATTTGTGATTGTTCTATAACTTGTTGAGGTTGCACCGGTGGTGGCTGTTGCTGAATATAAGTTTGTAGTTCAGATTGTATTGTTTGTATTAAGTTAATAGCCAATTGTTTCGCATTTTGTAATGCCTCTGGCTTTGGATGCCTAGGCAGAAACAATGTTTTATCAATCTATGTGGCTTGTTTGTTTAATTATTGATTAACTTGAAAACTTAGGCATTCTTACTCTATATACAAGTGAAGTGGCTCTGGAGATTCTCCTCCCAAAACTGGGTCGACAAATTGTGATGTACTACCTCTTAAAGTTACATTTGCTCCGGTTTCGCTTCTAATGTACATTAAATTTGCATCACCGGCGCCCAATATACGTCCACGTAAATCGAAGCCTTGCGGCGCATTTTCGATACCAACACAAATTTTCTCCTATGAATTGATAGATATGTATATATACTGAATACTACTGCAAAAAAAAGAATCTGTCGTAATTGCAAATAAGATATGGGACAAAATATTACCACAGTTGTAACTCCGGAATGTAAACTCATAAGAGGTGGTGGAGCATTGGTAAACCTGCTTGGTCTATTTAAAGAACTTTGGTGTTCTGTCTTGATGATTTCATTGATTTTCTGTATCGCCACTTTGAAACAGAAGATTTATTAAAAACATATCTTAACATTAAAATTAAAAGAAAAAAAATGTTATATAATACATACAATCAACATTGTGCTTTGTATGTCCCTGTATATACAGGTATAGTGGTCTTTCATTTGGGCAACGAAGCTTTTCTTGTTCAGTCATAAAACGACCACGTGTTGATACAGTTGCTCCTATAAATTGCCATAACACAGGATATTGATAAATGTATACATGTGTACACGTGATAAAATAATAGCCAGTAATACATATCGAAATGAAATGTAAGTATACCTGAAAATGAATTAATTTCATCCTGTATATAGCCTTTGGTGAGTAAGGTTCTAGCACTAGGTGGAGTTTCATTAATTTCAAACTCCCATGTATATGTTTCTCCATTTTTAAATGCTGTATTTGATGCTGCTATCTAATTGTGGGAGATATCATGTTAATATAAAAAAAAAACAAAAATCTATAAGTGTATTTAAAAGTGAACCCATATATGAATATTTAAGACTTCTGGACACTCACTATGGCTGTCCTTTGATGACATCTGAAGCAAGGAAAATCATGCCAATTTATGTAACGATATATGTGGAAATAAAAGAATATATGCACAAAATAACACTCGTGATTGATTCAGCACAAATAAAAATTATAAAAATGTCTAGACGTTTTCCTTTAACCTGAATAATTAATAAATAGCCATAAATTAGTATAACATGCAACTTATATTTTTAACCTATCTTTTCTCATCATTTCTGTTAATTTTACTATTTATTTATATAATTTTAGCTATTTATTAATTATTCGGGTTAAAGAAAAGCACTCAGGCACTTTTATAAGTACTGAATCGACCATGAATGTTATTTTGCATGTATATTCTTTTATTTTCACATATATCATCATATAAATTGGCAAGATTGTCCTTGTTTCTGATATCATCAAAGAAAGATAGTCATCGTAAGCATCCAGTAGTTTTAAAAGATATCTTATTTGGTCTGTTTTTTTTAGCTGAATCAGCTGCACTAATTTAAGAAATTTATATATATATTGAAACATATGAAACTTATATACAAAATTCTCAAGCTTCAGTATAGATCAATTTCTCGAACTAATGATACCAGTTCAGCTAAAAAGTATAGACCAATTGTCTCAAAGATGTCTTTAAAACATTTTAAGATGTCTTAATTCTCTCTCTTTCTCTCTGGGAAAACAATTCTAACTTGCAGATACATAACATGAACGTACCTTATTGTTGGAGTCAGAGCCTCTTATTTTTCCCTTAGCCATAGAGATGAAATATATGTTACTGGGACCAATATGACAATCCTCATGACTACAACATTCTCCCCAGCTTTAAAATCATATTAGAAATATGAGAATAATAGAAGCATGAAAGATTCTGCTAAAACGTGTCACACATTTTTATTACATATAAAGGATCATATATTATTGGAATAACAGGTTATACCTCAGTGTAGGAATTCACCATTCACATAAATCTTGTAAAAAACCCACAGTTACTTGTTATTTTAATATTTAAGTCACATTAGAGTGCACAGCAACCACATACTTTTCACTATAAATAGCTATAAACGTCGCTTATAAAACAAGGAAAAATATGTGAAATCCTGCGAATCGTTCATTCAGCGAATCGTGACTAATGCTACTGCTCGACACCACCACTGTTCTATGCCAACCAATAGCAACTGCTGTACGTGACAGCGACACCTACAAATGTATCGTCGACGAGTTGCACAAAATATCAATAATCGTTTTCAAATTTAGATTTAGATCTATTCTACTCTATATTCGACCTGTTGAAAAATAAAAGCTTCTCTGTCCCGTCGTTGAGAATCTTAATACTTCAGAATAAAATAACGTCTACCTTGCTATTGAGTTATACCCCGACCTCGATTTTACAGTATTGTGGCGGCTCGTAGCGGAGCTTGTGGAATTAAAAATTAATAAGGGGTCTAACCGTAACAGGTCGTTTGGCCGAAATCTCAAAAATTCCAATTTGTTGACACAAGAATTATTATCATACATTTACTTTCACGTATACACTTTCATGCATTTGTTGAAGTAAACAATCGTTAAATAAAATTAAAAAATATCGTGAAAATTATTATTAGCGAAACGGATCGTTGGTAGTGCCGAATGAAATATCGTGCGTATCGAGATATTTCGAGTTTCTCAATCACTGCTATATTCAAACAGTTCCGGGCGACTCGCGACGCGGCAGTTACGTTACTCGAAAACCGCTCCTGATTTTCCGCGAATTATACTCGCTAAAAGTAAGTCTCGCGCACGGATCCTCGCTGGGAATCAAGTTTCGCGCGTTTGTCATGACAAAATTTGGTCAGGTCAATCATCATCATAAGTGATTATCTCGCGAGACGATCCATCGGGATTGTTAACGAAACATCGCGCGTCCGTTACATTATGGCGGTTCAAAGCGCAAGCCGTTACCTGTTACGTTCTGAACCCGTCGAGAGTGAGTATTGTGCGCGAATTATGGTCGTTATACCGAAAATATATATGTGTTGTGCGCGAATCATGGCCATTCTACCGAAAATATTATGTGTTGTGTGGTGAAATATTGTGCATTTGGATAAATAATCGCTGAAGAAAACACGGAACGAATCATCGAGAGCGCCGAATGAAGGATTGCAATCGTCGTGCGACTTGAAGTTTAACGCAGCCTTCGATCCACCAAAAAAGTCAGTAACGATAAAGCTGATTCCTCTGAAATATTGTAGTTGTCGCATCAATTATTTATATTTCGACTGTTTGTACACACACACACACACACACATACATTTTTTGAAAAGTGCATCTTCATATAATACGATGAAAGATATTATGACGTTGGTATTATAGAAAAAAGAAGGTATCATGGAATAAATTCTTTATTCAGTTATTCAACATTACATGTACATTTTCCAAATTCATAATTAAATGTAATCACGAAAAAAAAATAATCATATGCGCGCCGTTTTGAGAGAAATGGTTCATACGTATGGAGTCATATACTTATCTCTAGGATTGATAGGAATAACAATATTATCTTCTTAGCTAGCACCATTCATTATCAATAAAAAAGTCAAAATTCAAATTTGTTTATTCAGAGAAAAAGAAGAAAGAAAAGTTCACTAAGGAAATATATTAAATTCTATCAAAATGTTTATGTATATATATTAAACTTGTGTGTGTGTGTGTGTATATGTGTGAATAAATAGATAAAGATATTATTTTACTAGAGAATGATTTAAAGTGGTGTTATATTACTTTCGTTCGACTATTTTCTCGTACTTAGTTATAGTAACAGGAATCGTAGAGTTTCCAGGTTCTAAATCTGCACATTGTGACTACCAAAAATACTAACTTTTACTAAAAAATATTCCACATGCTTTTAGGCTTTATTGCGTAATTATTTTTGCATTGAAGAGTGCCGTACGTTTTACCTTCTTACAATTTCAAATTATATCCACCGCATAGGTACTCAGAGCGAAATATTTAGGCGAAATGAGAGTGCACATGATTGATCTCGCTTGTACTTTGTCATGATCCTTTAACGTTGTTATACAACTATATTTTTGGTTTACACAGATCTCAATTAAAACGATAGAAAAATAGATTGCACATCTCCAATTCTACAAACATTGATCTTACTTGTATAATTAATTAATATAATTAACATATGTCTACTACAGTTGCGTGAATCAAATGATTTTAATATTTGAATTTCATGAAAGACGAACGATTGTTCTCTCTAATATTTGCCGAGGAATCACAATGCGTATCATTAGCATCACTGATATATGTTGCAAACGCTTGCATACAATTTATATACTTTTGAATGTCACGGATTTTTCGATCGGCAAAACCCTGTTATATAATAAAACTGAATAGGCATTATCTAGATAAAATTATGACGGATATCTCTGGATAAACTCCTTTGGCATGTTCGCGGATTACTTAAATCAGAGCGCTGCTTGAAATGATCACAAGATATGCACAATTGCCAAAATCTGGCATGTACTTTCCATAGTTGAACATAATTTAATTCATCTTTCTGATAGAGCCAGCCAAGCAAGTATGTGAGGAATGTCGTTATTATACATTATGTGTAAAAGATAAGCTCGGGAATTTGACCTTCGTCGATGGATGTGCCATTATTATCTCCCGTCTCGTTGCTAAATTCGAACTTGACTTTCCCATTTCCTGAATCGCAATCCACCATCACCGTGCGTAATCCCTTTGTGCCATAATATGAAAATGGCCCCTGAAATACAAGAGCACAACGTGCTTATTACCGATCATCACGCGCATATAACCGATTATATCCGATCAAATTGATCAGTGAAATTCAACAGAACTACCTTGAATGTAGTCGACGCGGTATAAATCGTATTTGGTAAGATTTCCGCTAATTCTTTGAACATTAGACGGTACGTGTACTTTGAACCATCACAGCTGAGACTTGTTGCATTTGTAGCTATCACTTTACCCGACGCCGTGTGAATCAATTCCACCGACGCCTCGTATGTCGCTGGTTTCTGCATGCTACCGTAAACCCCGTAGCCGATCAGAAAGATACGCCTGTCCACGCTGAATCTGGACGAAGAGCAACGCAGAGTTTCGTGATTCGTCGCGCACTTTAGTGATCGTCAATCGTGTTCGCGGATTACGAAGCGCGATTACCGGATGCGATCGCTGGTTCCGCTGTATCCCCATTTGCTCTCGGTATGCTGAAACCTGCACACGGTCTGCTCCTTGCCCGTCATACAACACCGCGGCATCGTTTGAAATCCCACTAAAGGCTTAGGATTCAGTATGAAGTACGTGAATAAAGATAGGACCTGCAACATTTCCTCGTTGAGTGAACAGTATCAGAAAATATTCACGGTAGAAACATTCCTGCTCTCTTCGATCTGCTATATACGAGACGCGTTCGTATGCGGCGCTACCTCTGAATAATTCAACAAGCCAGATTGCGCCGGGCCAGCCGTGAATTCTTCTTTCGACATAAGCGGGAAACGAACCAAGGATAGAGCGTTGCCCAAGACTTGACGTTGATTTTCCGGAGTGACTGGTAACTGCTGCCTCACGCATTCCGCCTCTGACCACCTGTACGAGAATTCAGCTATGTGAATACAAATCGAACGATTTGTCAGAATAGATCACAGCATCCAACCGCACCTTAAAACAGCTTGGAACAGCTTAGATTCCCTAACGCGCAGAGTGTCTCTTTCCAAGACTACCATCAGCGTGTCGATATCGATGTCCGTGAAGCCGTCCGCATTGAGCGCCTCGGTCGTGAATCGGTCAATGGTATCCAAACACACCGAGGCTAATTGCGGCTCATCGAACAGACGTGCTTGCGTTAAGAGCAGGAAAGCGTTATCACTGGTTAAATTATTCTTTAGAAAATCAACGCAATGCTTCTCCAACGCGGACACCGCGTACTTCTTAGCGGTGTACAGCGTTGTCATCACAGTTTCAGGATCTATCTGTATCTCGTCGGTGTATAGAAAAAGGAGCACTGCCAAAAATGCAGCGGGTTCCACATCAGGTACTTCTATTTCCGAAGAAGCTGTCGCGAACATTCCGTTAAACATTGCGTCGAACACGGCGCTTCCAGAGGACAGGACTAGTTTGTGTGCCGGTATACGTTGCCGTTGCGCTCCTCTTCCCACTAGGAAACTAACATCCGACAGTATCTCGTTATTGAACAGAAACACGATCCTCTCGCGCATCGTTGCCTTTGTACCCTGCCAATTATATGTGGCCGCGGGTTGATTATGCGTGGAAGAGTTCTCTAAGGCGACGTTATTCTGCGACCGGCCCTCCAAATACGATGTATTCGCCGCGTTAGTCGGTGGCCGGCTGAAACATTCAAAGCGGGATATAATCAACTGATAACGTGCGACAAGTGCGTTATGACGTTAGGTGATAAATCATCGTCAGTCCCGCATAAAATTGCAAAAATCACGGCAAGAATCTCCCGTTAATGCTCCGAATACGACTGGAATAAATCATGCTATATTGGCTCGAGACAAAAGTTCGTTCTGTTTTTTAATCGGGGGGGTCGATTCGTGTACTTCAAAACGCAGTAGGAATTACAGAAGTGAGCGAATTTACTGGAATATTTATAATTTCATCGATCGACGTCATAGTAAATCTGCTCACTCTTGTCATTCTCACTACGTTTTCAGAGACGACCCCTCGTTTCTTCGCTCCGAAATCTCAAAATTCCACGAGCGCGAGGTCACGCAGTCGGAGAGATGGCGGGTCGTCGAACAAATCGACGCATACTTGATTGATTGTATCTTAAAATAAACAAATGCTCTATGTATATACTTTGATCGAAGAACTTTCGCTTCAACCCGATATTTCGAGGCTTCATTATTCCCAGCTTCAACACCGCCGCTGAAATCGGCCTCTCAACTCACTTATCGCCGTTCGAGAACGAGGCCTCGCTTCGGGCAGCGGACGAGCTCGTCGGTTGCTCTTCGTCGCAGACGAAGTTGAGCGCGCGCCGTGCTCGGGAAAGGGTGACATTGCCGATGGTCTGCATGTTTCGTAGCGGTTCCCGCGACGACGATCCGTCGCCGATTCCGTCGCGACCGGTCGAGCCTCCTGCCGCCGACGTTGCCGCCGACGTCGCCGCCGCGTTATCCGTCACGTCGCCGTCCTCGCCACCAGCCGCAGGCTCTCGATAACCTTGCGCCGTCAGACGCAGGCTCTGCAACCTCGACGCGACGTTCGGCACGTCGTTCAGGGAGGTCTCCGTAGAAGACATGTCCGCGCACAAAACGTAGTACTTGCCGAGGTACTGCCCCGTCTCATTTAATCGCGGCACTTCGCGCCAACGCGGAGCGGCGGCGAGAGAGCAGAACTCGCCGAGAGCACGGTTACCCTCCCGCTCGCGATTTTCTCCTTCTCTTTGTCCCTCGTCTTCTCTTCCTTTCCTCCTCACCGAACACGCCGGGTACTCGCAGCGGGAGAATATTGAGAAGAGCGACCCACGCGCTACAACGCATCCCACCGAGGCTTCTGCTCCTCCACCCCCTCCCCCTTCGTCCCGATTCCGTTTTCCTTCGAACGTTCACTTCGCGAGTGAAGCGACAAACGCCACGAGCGGCTGTCGAGGGTACACTCCCGGGCGTTACCTGCTATCGAGACACCGCTGCCCGACTACACCGACCGCGAGAAACACTCGGTCTACGCGCGTATGTAAATTACGCAGTATCAGAGGATAGGTGCATTCGAGGAGACGCTATTTACCGCGTCATTCTATCCTTCTTGTAAATGTAGAATAATAAAGATAGATTGACGTGGTAGCGCTAAATACAGTCCCCTCGAACGCATCCGAAGAGTGATGAAAAATAGCGATCGATGAATTTTTCCGTCGACTGTCAGGAATGCCCGGCGGACTGAGGATAATTGGAGAACGTTAATGTTATCGACTGCTTTTGAACGACGAACAACATGCTTTAGAACTGTTTAAAAGACTAATGCGCTGTTAAATTTACCGTATTCGTAATTATCTCGATGTTTCGTAAGTTTGTGCGCACTCTTATCCCTCGCCAAAGTATCAAAGTATATTTCCGTGAAATGTTATCCTTCCGTGACTATCGTCTCGCTGAGATAACATTAAAGACCGCTAGTTTATCGGAGTTCGCGTGGAGCTTGAAAAAATGCGCCGTACAGTGATGCCCTCTTGAGAAATGTCGCGGCTTGGTATCGAAAGCAAGCAACGAGCCGGTTTCTTCGAAACTGAATTATTTTGTCCCTGCATTCGAACGTTATCATATAAATTTCAATTGCGTGTACTCGGCGTCACGTCAGTTTCACACATCAAATTTCAGTCTCAGTCACGGTTTGTCCGGACCAATTCTTTTCTTTAGTGACCAAAATTATTTATTTCACTTATCGGCAACTTAGAACTATTAAAAATAAGGCCACAACTTTCAACAGTTCTAGGTGAGTTTCTACGAGTTGTTAAATATCAGCCTCGCTTCGGCAGAAATTATATTAGCAGCATAAAAATGCATCGTTGAGTCAGATTTTGTAACAAGTGTATTAATGATGTTTATGTACAATGTTTACATGATACAGGGAACATGTGCGCACGTTTACGGTGTTACGGTATAAATACAACAAATATGTAATCAGCCCAGAGTCGTATAAACTAATAATACAGCAATAACGGTGAAATAGTATATGTCGGGAATATAATTGGCGAATTATGTCAATCAAGTTAACACAGTTATTATTATCTATAATCTGTTTTAAATCTCTTTATGTGTTGGATAATATTATTATGGAACATACATAAACATTGCAATATAAAACAATGGATCGCGTATTTCTCGCAGTGATATGTACACGCATGATAATACACGCCTGTGTATTAAAGATCTCTCGGAATTAATGCAATACAACATAGAGTTATCTTTTGCCAATACATGTAAATTAAAAGTTACAAACCTTCGCAAATGTACGTTAACACGTTTACTGATAGGAGAGTTTACGGAGAGTAGTAGAAGACATCAATATCGTTGTACAAAATATTAGTGGCAGAAAAACAGTTCGTTTGTTCGTTAATTTTGACTTATTTTATTTACCTTGCGTACGTATAAGTGTGTATAGTGTATGCCTGGGTGTGTGAGCGCGCGTGTATGTGGGTGTGTGCATCGCATCAACGTGCAATGAAAATATGTAGAAGAACTTAATCTTAACAGCTTCCTTTCATATATAAGTATTCCGCGCATTCTTCTTTCACGTATTTCTTATGATAGTCAGATTTATCATTAATTGTCATGGCTGTTGGCGCACCTAATGTTTGTCCGCACGTTGTACTCGTTCCGATCGGTGCTTCCTACGCCAATAGTCGTTATTAATTAAATACATGTCGCCTCGGCTTCATTGATAAAATTTCAGTAGAACTACATTTCGCGCATATCCTCGTTATCGACGTAACGATGTGCGCTGCAGATCTATGTGTAGACACACGGGATTAGACTCTAATTAATCGCCGGATATACTATATCCTATTAAGACTATTGCGTAAGCTTATCGAGTACACATACAAATTTATAATATACAAGTTAAACATAATAGAAAACTGGCCGCATGTAAAATGAAGAGTAAATTGGATTTAGTAAGCTAAGGCGCTAAATTAAGTGACACGCGCGACGAGATGCACGCGTATCTCGTTAAAAATTAATTATTGGCGAAACAAAACTATCTCGATATCATTCTGAAACGTCACTCCCGAACGGCGACATTAGTCAGCCACTGTGTTATATTTATTCATTGTTCCAGAAAAATCCAGATTTAAGTCTATTAACGATCATTGTTTTACGATCACTGTAAGAACATGAAATCAAAATCAGCCAATAATGCGGTGATGTGAAATTATATCTATTTTCTTAGTTCGCATAGATTTTTCTTACCAAGTAAGTAATTTATAATAAATATAGGGAAAAGAGGAGATATTTAAAACGCACACGCTAATAAGAGATATTTGTAAATGAAACACCAAGGAATACAAAACGATTAATTGACGGCAAGCGCATCATTCACAAAACGACACGCCTCGCCCTCGATATTGTCTAATAAATTAATTACGTAATTGTCATCAGAAAATCGATGATACGATCATTGGTAACGTTTCCAAATTGCGTTCCAACGACTATATTAAATACTCTTCGCGCACACGTCTATCTCTCGTACGTAATCTCGTATTCGCGTATTCCCTTTTATATCATTGGTCAGTCGCAACACAATTATACGCACAATGTACTGTCAGTTAAGAACGCGAATCGACGCTCTCACGTCTCGAAGTCCAACTCTTGGTCTTTCGGCTGGTGCAGTTTGCTCTTTGTCCTCCTCGACTTGCTCGATGTAGCTTTTTTTTTCTTCGACTTCGGCATGATCTCGCAACTGCAGCCGCTTCGCACCCTGATGTAGTCCAACGTCCACTTGGTTTTGGCGTTGGCGGCGTTGTATCCTTCATAGCCCTGAGAATCGGTGCATTGATCAAGCGATACTAACTCCACCCAGCTATATGTGTTTGACAAAATCTTTCTCAACGCGTGATTATTTGTGATTACGTGAAAATCTCGAGTAAACCAACGAGACGACAAACATTACCGCAATCTCAATAATATCAATATACTATTGTATATTGTATTTAAAAGGAAAAAAAAAGAGAGAAATATTAATCCCGATGACAGAATGACGATAGAGTTTTTTGGTAGTTTGCTTGTTTTCTGGTAGTTTTACCTGTTCGCTAGTGGCGTTGACGATAGCATACACGTACGCGAACTTCTGCACGCATTTGGACCGGTTGCTTAACCTCCAGTCGATGAACTTGCACGGCCGGTCGAGGACGTCTGCCCTACAAGAGTACTCGAAGAACCTCTGGGCAATCTCGCCGTCTCGGAAGAGCTCGACGAACATGTTCCGATGATTTTGACCGCCAATCGGTTCCACCATATGCATAATCTCGGGACAGCATTCGACGGTGCGGCTGCTTGTTTCCTGATGCAGAAAATAGTCCATCTCTCGAACTGTCATCCGCTTGTTCAACAGCCCTTCCAGTGTACTGCAAATCATGACGTAAAGTGTTTCTCCCCGTTTGACCCAATTTCGCATTCGAGCTCCTTTTTCCCGATCATACGTATTTTTTTCTCGATTTTCTCCGATGGAGCACAAATGGAGCATACAATATTCGTGGGGCCTTTCCCGAATTCACTTTTAACCGTCGTCGAGGTATGTTAACGATCATCATATATTAACAGGCAGTTTAACGAGAGAGAGAGAGAGAGAGAGAGAGAGATATATGTATGTAAAAACAACAAAATTATGTTTCGCTACGCCACAGTGAGCCACGTTGAATTTAAATCGGATTTAGCTCGCCATCGAAGCAAGCGCCGGTATTCCTCCCAATGCTCGGCACGACCGAACGCTAATAGCTCGTATCTAAATTACGCGGTAGAATGTTGTTACGATTAAAAAACTGCATGGTGCATGATATTTTACTTCGTTTCGTATTCATTATTAGCATTTTATGCACATTGCTAATAATTAAGATAACAGACTGAACACGATCGATTATTTAAATGTGTGTCACGCAACGTGTTTTCACGCGCTCCTATCCATTATTATTCGTAATTCTTGTTAAATGAGCTATGATAACGAAAACCAAAGCGATAACGGTGCAACTAACTATACGCTATTACGTTTTCGAATGTTGAAAAATTAATCTCAGCTTATACCCGATATTAGATCGCGCATGATAAATCCAAACCCCGATACTTATTCCTTCGTTTCATCATTTCCTCTCATTTCAACGGAAAAGATCCTTATACTTACATCTGAGCAAGATGTTCTCTGAAAGAATGAATTCCCTTGCCCTTTCTAGGGAAGAAGGATAAAGTCAGATTGTTGGCGACAGCAACAATCTGCCGCGGGCACAGGACTGCGGTCAGCCAAACCACCTGCAATGAAAATCACGAGTGCGAATTAAGCGTGCAAATTATTTGCTCACGTGTTTAACATCCGATTATTTTCCATCAAATTTCGAAGTTTAAGAGACACACCGAAAGGAATTGGTCTTAACAAATCAATGATAAATATTCTCATATACATAAGCAATAATATTATAATCTTCTTAGAAGATTTTTAGTCTTGATTTGATTAAATTTATACCGATGCAAGTATTACTTACGCTTGAATCAAAACTAAAAATTCCAGAATATTATATAAGAATATCATTGATTTAAGACTATTTTTCGCGGCGCATGAGTGCATCGATAACAAAGCGAAAAGATTTTCTTTCGGCGATCGGAGGATTACAGATAATACAGAAGAAACTCCCCGGATTTTCCTTTTGCGTTGTAACATCTGCCCGAGCGAATGCGTTTTCCTATTCGCATTTAATAGCAGCCGTGAAACTTGCGCATTTCTATCGCGACAGGTGTGTGCATGTGTGTGTGTGTGTGTGTGTGCATCTTAATGCCACGATCACGCCATTTTGACGCGGGACGTTGCAAACAATAACCGCATGCCTGTCGGCCGCCTAAGCGACTAATGCGCATGACTGTGCGATTTTATATTTCGCGAATTGTCAGATCAGAATAGAACTTAATATCGCGGCGAAGGATCGCGTGAGAAAGTGTCCGAGGGACGTCGGAGATTGGCGCGAACGCGCAATAAAGCACGCGGTGTGTTAGTCACGCATCGCCCGAATCCGCGCGCGCGGCACACGTGAGGTGCACGTGTGAACACTCGCGCGGAGGTGAAAACATTAATTCGGCTTATGATTTTTATGCAAAACAGGCCTCACGGCGCCGCCGCGCTCACCTCGTTAATACGAGCGTGCCTCTTTCTCGCGTACCGGCCGCACTTTCGATTTAATTGCGCCGTATAACTCGTCGTCACCAGAAAGTACTGCGGAACCGGTCCGCTCCATTCAACGGGCTAAATCTCTTCCTCCTCGTTCTTTTTCTCCTCGACGCGGCACGGAAAAAGATCCTTCGAAAGGCGCGCAAGGTGCAATATTTACGATTGTTTATTGCGCCCGCGCGAGAGAGGAGCGGTACCGCGATAAACAGCGCCGTATCGCTCGGCTATTCGGCCTTTGCTGGGACTTTGGCTGGAAATACCTCGCGAGAGGAGAATCCCGGAGTAAATTTTCAAGCGAGATGTCAATTCTCGTAAATCCGATTTCTCGACTACCTGTACGTATGAGGGAGCGTCTCGTTATTAACATCGCAATCTTATCTACAAGCTTGCAAGAGCTGTTCCTCGATTCGACTCTGTGTAGGACGAGCCGTGCATATGTTATTATCGTGTATCGGTGACACTTCTTTTCACGCGGCGCAGCACCGCCGACGGGCGAAAGTCAAACGAGAGCTCGCCGCCGAGGCTGATATAAGCGAGACAACGCGAAATAGCCGGCATCGCCGACGTTTAATTAAGCCATCGTTCCGCAGGGTGAACGGTTAACTAAGCGGCGCCTCCCATACGGGGAACTCGTATTGGGCAGAAGAACTGCGTTCGGATTAAACGGATATTCACACACGCGGGGACCACACATCGCGCATTTCTCTCAGGCGATCCTTATCGGGCTCTTGCATCATCCCGAACGGGAAAGGAATTCTCTCTTTCTCTCTCTCTCTCTCTCGTTGGCAACGCGATTTTAATCATATTGAGACGTGCCCGCTCGGCACGCAGTAGCAGACATTGCGGCATAACTTAGCGATACTTAGCTTAATTGTCCGCTAAGTCGAGACGTCGGGCGATTATCGCGACGTGCCCGACGCGCGCGTCGAAATCGTCCGATCGTAAACACGCGAGTGCCGATGAAACGGACCAGTTATTAACACGCGCGTAAATATCGGAGGTTTAAGGTGATGTGTTCAAGGCGAAGTAAGACGCGGTATAATAAACCGGCCTGTGGAAATTACCTCTCTTTCCCGCGCACGGCAGGCCGCGGGTATCGTCTCGCGCCGGCGCACGAGATTTCACGGCGATGCTCCTAAAGAAAGGAAGTTAAGCCGATGTTACCTCTCGGGGTTGCGCCCGGGCCAAGAAGACGTCAATTAGCGTCGCGGATTTCTCCCTTTCTCTCTCTCTCTCTCTCTTTCTCCCGTGTTCCACGATACGATAATGAAATGGCCGCTCGGGCGCGCGCCAGAAAGGCGCTCTCTTTCGCGAAACTCGAAATTAGCCAGTCGTTCCTCGCCTCGGTGTACGATAATCCCGGGTGTGTTTCGGCGGGTGGTGGGCACCGGCGCTTTCGTCGTAATTCCGTCCGCGCCGGGGCAATCATCGTTCTTGCGTCTCGCAATTTTATCTAATGACAGTCTGACAGAGTTCGCCATTACCCACCCCGATCATTATCAATCCTCGGCGAATAAAGATTTACCGCCGCCGCGGCCGTCCGCGCCGCGTAAGAGCCGCGTGAGCTACGGCACTCGGATTGCAAACTCGTTCCGCGCGTTTACGAGTGCGCGCGTTGTGCACATAAGAAGGCGCGCAACGCGCACGGGGGTTCCGCGCATCGATCGTCGAACGAAAATAAGGACCGATCGACTATAAGTCACCGCGCGACAGCGAAGTTAACTGGGGACGACGTTTTTATGGCTTCTTTGCGTTCCCAGTGCCGTTCGGCTCCCTCTCGAGTAAACGTAATTTATGTACATCTTAATTGGGTATACACTTCGGATCGGCCGAATGTATACGCGCTATTTGAAGACGTTTATCGACCATTCCGACTGCGCCGATCGCTAACGGTCATCGGAGCTCATGGGTTTTTATCTCACCGTCGTCGTTTTGTCAGATAGCCGGTGACGTATCTAGTGCGTCTCCAGAACAAGACGAGTCGTATTAGGTGTGTAAATAAGTTCGGTGCCTTTGCACTTGACGTAACTCTCGTTCAAATTTCAGTTTTCTCCCCGCCCTAGGATAATTTGAAAGTGCCAATCTTAAGCTTTGAGAAGCACTACAATGGCCTTGCCGGCATAACCTCGGAAAACGGTGCACTTAAAGAAAAATATAGTTATTTTCAAGGATAACAATATCCTCTTTACATTTTAACCACAGAAATAGTCAAGAGACTTTTCCAGTAAGTTACTGTAGTGTTACTGTAGTATCAATGATAATAAACTTACGTGCACGTTGCTATTACTATTTTACTATTTATCCCTTTTTCTTTAATAAACATTAAAATCATGCTAAAAAGGCACCGAACTTATTTATATATCTAATATAATTGTTACAAATGAAACACGTCACCCTGCTCGCGTCGTTAATTAAGTGCGCGCGTACTGACCGTGGCTAATAATGGCGGGATCGCGCCTAATCCGAAAACATTTAAAACTCATTCAGTGCCAACAAGATAAGAAATAACATCCGGCTCTCTCTCTCTCTTTCCCTTTCTCCTCCCTCTCCTCTCTTATCCCGATCATCCTCGCCGTCATGGTGAGTATCAACAGAGGACGAAATATCTCCCATGTGAAAGCGGCGGAAAATAATTTGTAGCGCAATTAGAGTCCCATAACGCATTGGCGATGACGCTACACCGTCGGCGCGGCGCGACGACTAGTCCCTGCCTCCGTATCTCATTCCTCCTCCCGGAATGCACTCGGCGGGCCCCGTCGCGATATACGTTATACCTACGATATGCCGCGTATTCCGATAACGTTCGAGGAACCGAGACCGGTATCGTTACGGTGAGGACGCGGCTTATCGGTCGACGAGTTTATGTCTCCGCGCCGCGCCACGTGAATCGCAGTGGGTCGTGTGGGTGTCCCGGCGATCCCACTCTTCGGGTTGCCGCTCACCGGAAGATCGGTGACGATCGGTCTCTCTTGCGTGTAGTTCACATACGCGCGATATCGTCGGCGTTATATCTCAATTTGTATCGATTTGATAGCTTAGGGAGGCTGTGAGATCTTCATGTGAAAAGAATGCCTGGAAGAGATACATATGGGAAAAAAAGATCGATTGAATGAATATGACAACGGACAAATCGAGCGCGTTTCGATTGAAGGAAAACAAATTTCTGGCCCTGAGTGCCGAATTTAGTTCGTAATTTAGTTCATAAGAACTAGAAATTCCGTTTCCTCCAACGAAAACGCGTCTGACTCGCTTATCGTCGCGTTAATTCAACCAATCTTTTTTCTCCTCTTCTCCAAAACGTCGAGAAAGAAGAAACGGTACTCTCAGGAAACTCGTCGCGCTTCGTTACGTAGCTCTTACGCCGTTTGTCTAGACTCGGGATCATTTGAAGAGGGAACTTTCCCCGATAATTCATCGGGGCGCGTTTCCAGCAATATTATTAATCCTCGCAACGAAAGGCGAGTAAACGGTTAATTAAAAAGCACGGGGCTTTAAATCCCCGAGTGGCGTAATCGGCCCGCGTTATTTATCACTGCCGTCAGGACCGGCGAGGTTTACCGGGTGCACCAGGAGATCTAGGCGAACGTGTTATTATATTTAAGAGGCGTGCACGCGCCTACCTCAAGTACACGGTTCTCGCTCGTAAAGCGCGTTCGTGCAACCAGAGCGACATTGCGCGAAAACGGTGAGCGCCATACCGCCGCCTCGTAACGATACGCGCTCAGCTCGGCTCGGAAAAGCGACGGCGGCGCACAGCGGGACGAAACGCTGAAATGTGTGTGCCGAAACCCTAGTTTACCAGTTTCAGAATTGTGAAAAGATACTGACATATTTAAATAGTTTAACGTTCGGCCTGTGTAATGATGAATTTCACTTATGCCTTAACTACTTCCGTTTCCCTGTAAAAAGCTCGCAAGCCTGTATAATGTCATAAATATCCCTACACATCTATGGTATGATTGCAATTGCAGATCTATTTGGTAGACTGGTAGGAAAAGTTTGGCCTAACTAACCACTGCAATAAAGATACCTCATTCATAGATACAATGATAAGATAGTCATAGGCCGTTATTCATAGTCCGATCTTATATTC